AAAAAAAAAAAAAAAAAAAAAAAAAGACGTGAAAATGTCCAATGTGAATGTGAAAATGTGAATGTTAATGTGAATGTGAATGTGAAAATGTGAAAATGTGAATGCGAATGTGAATCTGAAAATGTCCAATGTGAATGTGAATGTGAAAATGTCCAATGTTAAAAAAAGAAAAAAAAGAAAAGAGAGTTATAGAATACCCCTGCCGCAAAGCCTTTGTATCCAGGCCGAATGTCCGGGAGGCCCTCAGGGGAACCTCCGCGTCATTTCTGCACCCCTACATGACCTGAAAATTACTTTCTTGCCATTTTCCCACCACATCCGGCCCCACCCTGGGTACCAAAATGACGTGGGTTTTCCCTTGAGCGCCTCTCAGAAATTTTGCCACATTTTGGGAGCAAAAGAAAACAAACGTTTTGCCCCCCGGTTATTCTATAACTTTTCCCCTACCATTTAACTGAAATTAACTCCTCTGCTTCCAGTGCAGTTCGTACTCAGCTCCGTATTCAAACAATTCCTCCCCCCTCCTCCCCCCCCGTCCCTTCCCTCCTCCTTCCTCCCTCCTCCCTCCTCCTTCCTCGTACTTCCATCTCCCCCCCCCACAAAAAAAAATCAAACATTTCAGGGGTGTAAATCCCTTTTCCTCCCACCCCCTAAGGAGCTATTTTACGTTTTTCACCCCCTGGCGACCACAGCTCGCGTCTATAAATTTGGTCGTGCGGCTACCCCGTATCAAAAAACCATAGTACTCGCGCGCTCCCCCGCTCAAGGTGGCATGTAGGTAGCGCCTTCCACATCCTCCTTTCTTCCTCCTCCTTTCTTCCTCCTCCTTTCTTCCTCCTTTCTCCCTCCTCCCTTCTCCCTCCTCCGTTTTCAAATCTCTCAGTAGTTGACGCGTTGTGTATGATAATCTTTCGCCATATCTGAGCCTACCTTCTTCACCCGAATAGAACGCCAGTTCATTATAGCTCTGCATTTGGCACAACTTTCAGCCCAGATACGGCGATTCTTACCGGGCGTTCTATTCGGGTGAAGACTGTAGCAAGGAATTGGCTATCTTCCCTTGCTAGGTCCAATTTGACACAGTACGGACTCCGGAGGAGAGAGGGTCGGAGGTGACTGGTCGTCTCTCTCCTCCGTTTTTTTGCTTGCAAAATTGCCCCTCGTACTGTCCGAGGTGCTGTACTGCTTGGTACTTAGTGTACTGCTGCAGTGGTCGTCTCAGCCAGTGACTGGTCATCTCTCTCCTCCGTTCTGCCTCTCCTCGTCCTCTCCTTTCTCCCTCTCGTTCCCGTGTTTTCTTGCAAAATTGCCCCTCATACTGTCCGAGGTGCTGTACTGCTTGGCAGTTAGTCGACTGCCGCAGTGCTCACTGCTCATCTCAGCCAGTGAATACTCTTTTCTCTCTCGTCCGCTCTACCTCTCTTCGTCCTCTCCTTTATCCCTCTTGCTCCCTTGTTTTCTTGCAAAATTCTCCCTCATACTCGTATCTCTCGTCCGTCCGTCCTCTCTTCTCCCTCCCTCCTTCGTTTCTTGCGAATCCGAGGTCCTGTACTTCTTGTCAACCTCTCCTGTCTCCCTCTCGCTCCCTTGTTTTCTTGCAAAATTGCCCCTCGTCCGTCCGTCCGTTCCTGCTACTAAGTCCACTGCTGCTCATCTCAGCGAGTGGATTGTCTTCTCTCTCCTTCGCTTCTACCTCTCGTCAACCTTCTCCTGTCTCCCTCTCTCTCCCTCTCTCTCCCTCTCTCTCCCTCTCTCTTCTTCGCTTCTACCTCTCTCGTCAACCTCCTCCTGTCTCCCTCTCTCTCCTTCGCTTCTTGCAAAATTGTCCCTCATACTCGTATTGGGCTTTGTCTTCCCTGCTCGGTTTTCGAGAGACTGTCTCCCTCTCTCTCCTTCTCTTCAGACGCTTCTACCTCTCGTCAACCTCTCCTGTCTCCCTCTCTTTCCTTCGCTTCTTGCAAAATTGTCCCTCATACTCNCTCTCTCTCCTTCTCTTCAGACGCTTCTACCTCTCGTCAACCTCTCCTGTCTCCCTCTCTTTCCTTCGCTTCTTGCAAAATTGTCCCTCATACTCATATCGGGCTTCTCTGTCTTCCCTGCTCGGTTTTGCAGACACGGTCCGAGGTGCTGTACAGTGCTTGGTACTTACTCTACCTAGCGTGTGAATACGAAATACTCTTTTCTCTCTGGTCCGCTCTACCTCCTCTTCATCCTCCCCTCTCTCCCTCTCTCCATGTCTCCTTCGTTTCCAGCGAAATTGTTCCTCGTATTACTCTTATCTCTCATCCATTCCACCTCTCTTCTCCCTCTCTCCTTTTCTCCCTGACTCCCGTGTTTCTTGCGAAATTGTCCCTCAACTTGTCTCGTGGTGCGCTTGTCATTCTCTCCTTTTGCTCCCTATCTTCTTCGTTTCTTGTGAAATTGTCCTGGCTCAAAATGCCTACCGCCTTCACCCGAATAGAACGCCACGTCATCACCGCCGCACCTAGACGGAAAGTTACCCCAAATACAGCTATAATGGCCTGGGTCTTGTATCTGGACGCAACGTCCTTCAACAAAAGTGTCATGTTGTCCTCGTTCGTATCACTCCCTTTCTGAGTCTATCTGAAATTCGCTTATTAAAGTAGTTGCTCTTTATTGGGGCAATCCAAGTTTCTAAACTCACGCGTCTTTCTTTTCTTCTTCTTCTTCTCTTCTCTCTCTCTCTCTCTCTCTCTCTCTCTCTCTCTCTCTCTCTCCCCCCCCCCC